TTTTAATAAATTTTGATAAAATTAGATTGAAATGTGTGATTGAAAAGGTTGCAGGTCCATAAAATGTTATTAAAATTTATTATTAATTTTGACTTAAAATTTAATCTATATTTTAATCATGTATCTCCCCGTAACATTCCCGCGTTGCTAGTTTATAGTTTGCAGCATATGACAAACTAAAAAAATGTTGATATTCAATTTATATTAATACTTTTCGTCGTCGTCGTACTCATAATTGTCTTTATATGAATATGTGTATGTATCACCTAAGAAAATATTGCATGCAAAACCATAAAAGTTCTAGTATGAAGCCCTACACACGATTGAACATCATTGTGAATGAGATTTTAACTTGTTTTTTGTTTTTTCATTTCCATAAGCTGGAAAAGTTGAAATAAATCTTTATTGGGACATCCATTGATCTAATATTTTAGTCTATGTATTGTTGGATAACCCCATCAATCCGTTTTTCCCTCAGCAAATGTTTCGTAAAAAGTCACATTCGAAAGTATTAAACAAAAGGAACTTAAAATCTTGTTCATACAAATATGATATTAATGAAGTTGAATTTATTACAGCTGCAGAAAGACCTAGGATTCAGACAAGTGCAGCATATACCTATATTCCAACATTTGACAACAGCAACATAGAAACCTACGCAGGAATACCTAAGAGAAAATATAGAGGAGTGAGAATGAGGCCATGGGGGAAATGGGCTGCTGAAATAAGAGATCCATATAAAGCTTCAAGGCTTTGGTTAGGCACATTTGACACTGCCGAGGATGCTGCTAGAGCTTATGATGAGGCAGCTTTACGGTTCAGAGGCAACAAAGCCAAACTAAATTTCCCAGAAAATGTCAGGCCCTTGCAATCTTCTTCATCCCAGTCCAGCATTTCGTTATCTCAGAATACACTTTTTTCAGTTTCGACCTCATCCGAACCCATTGTTCATACTCAAGCTCAAAGTATTATTCCCAACAGACAAGAGTTTATGAATCTTGATGATATTCAAAGACAGCCCATAATTCCGTTGGATCAGTTATTGTTTTCGTCGTCAACATGTTCGAATTTTCAATCTTCGTATTTGTCTTCGTACGATCAAACTGTTCCATCGGCGACTACATCTTTTCCTCTGTTTTTTCAAGCTCAGCCAAGTGATAATCTAATGTCAACAAACAGTCCAAGAAGTGAGGCTGATTTTTCTTGGGGTGATTCGAGTCATCAGACTTCTTCTGG